TTCGCATATGTGTATGTCTATTTGTGTATTTGTTATGTGATAAAAGATTAAGCTAGGAAGGGTTCCCACTCGTGCACAGCTTCGGGAAGAGTATCATCAGGTCTCGTTTTGCCCTCGAAATTGAGGTTATATGCGATGATGATGCCTGTGATTGAGATAAGGTTTAATTGTAACCCAAGTGGGTCCAGAAAAGGGCAGTGGCTGAGTGGAGGGGACGAGCAGAAAGGATCTCAAACGCAAGGCTTTGCGACGGAAATCGACGAGACGCGGTAAGGGCGCAGGAGCTTGCTTTGGTTATAGGATTGGATTGGGAATAGATGCGTGAACACACTGAGTACTGTGGACATGCCGCGTTGCATGCCAACGATCGATCAACCATAATCAGTAGCAGAAGTGGGCTCAATTTTTCAGGATCCGAGAAGAGAGGTACAGATCAGCTGAACTCAGGCTTTGTTGGATCCGAAAGGCCACCAGCCACTGCTAGCACAGGACCGCCTTGATCCGCGTCCACAGTGATCGGGGTCATGAGGTGAGTTGAGCCCAACAACAGCAACAGCAAGAATGGTAGATATGTAGAAAAACTGATTTTCGAAAACTTCCCTAACAAGTACATGTGAATTGTTTTGAAGAGGCGAGTGGAATGGATTCGTAATTTAGTCTCAACACAAGTCGAAGCTGTGATTGTAGATTTGTGCCAATATGTCCTCGGCCCACCGCCCCGCGACTGAAATTAACCCTTACTGAGGCTTCTTCTGTCGTGTGACGGATATCGTCAGAGCAGGACAATATTTTTCACTACAATTCCGCCCTCTTAAAACTAACTCAAAGTTACTACAACACGAGCAAGAACAACAACGGCCAGAACGACAACAAGTGCCAAGTTGGCCCAGCAAGAGTGTGCTCAAAAGCGCCAAAAGTGGTGAGACTTTTGTGGTTTCGCAATTCACGATGTGAGGTTGCGTCACTCGTCCGAGAACACTTGCTCGCCTGATTTCCCACTCATCCACGC